CTTTATTTTAACTGCTTGGCAGCCAGCATAGCCCTTGAAAAAAAAATACTATAAGAGCCAAACCCTGATCATTCCATTTTAAACATTTTCATCCAGTCCTTTCCCCAGTTCTTTTCTTCTTACTCTATGAATTTAAGACAAAGACAAAAAAATGAGAGCAGCTCATGCATCTGGTGTTAGTAGATAATTGCCAGTATTTCTTCGTTATGTTTTAAGCAAGGGACCTTAGGTGTTATTACTCTTGTTGTTATGCTTGAATCAGAACAGGTGTCTGGACAGAGCCAGGACAGTCCTTTCACCTCATTGCTTGGCCCTTTGAGCAACCTTGCTAAAAGGTGTTTCAAAACTGAGTACTGCCAACTTCCAAGTGACTTGGATATTTTGCTTTCAAAACCAAGATGCATTTATAGTTCATTTTGGAGTTTTACACCCAAGGAGGACTGTGCATTCCAGCATCAAATCTGCTTCATTTAAAACAACAGCTGGAGTATACTTCCATTCTAAAAGGCCTTGTTTAAAGCTGATTGGTTATGCTTACAGTATATAAAGTTTGTCTTTATTTGCTAGATCTTCTTAACCATTAGTGAGCTTTCCCAGTTGCTGCTAGTATTTTGATAGGGTTCCACCAGTATTTAGTTTTTACATCATTTTAATGTATAGTTTCAGGTCTCATTAGACAATCCTAATCCCACTACATTTCTGTTTGGCTCCAACATCCCACTTCTGACAACCAGATATGGTGGGAAATTACCAATACGGAGTCAGGTAGAAATATAAAGGTATTTAATAGGGAAAACCCTTCCTTACAGAGCGACCTAGCCAGCCGGCGTGACAACAGCCTATACAACAAAAAACAAAGTAAAACCAAAAGAGCAAACACAGTCATACTACGTCACTCTGACCACGCCCTCACAAGCGTGGTCAGACACACCTGTAGCCAGCCCCTAAGTAGGCGTGGCTACAGCTTCCCCTACATGTGTCTGTGTGTCTGTGTGTGTGTGTCTGTGTGTGTGTATCTGTGTGTATCTGTGTGTGTGTGTTTGTGTGAGTGTGTGTGTGTGTCTGTGTGTATGTC